ATTTCTTATCAAGCATTGCAGCCTCCTCCTTTGTTTACCCTTCACATCCCTTCCCAGCCTTCCCCCCTACCCCCCCACCCAATCCTCCCCGCCTCCCCCCCAAAAAGATGTTTTTCTAAAACAAAAAGAAAACCTGATTAGGTGGAGGCATAGCTCAGGTGGTAGAACTCCAGCCTTGAGTATAAAAGCCAAGTGAGAGCTGGAAGCCCTGAGTTCAAGTCCCAGTACTGAAACAAATAAACAACAACAACAAAAAGTAGATTGGCAAAATGATTCAAGGGTAGAATGCCTGCTTAGCACTTGTCAGGCCTTGAGTTCAAGCTCCACTATTACAAAAAAAAAAAAAACAAAAGCAAAGCAAAAGTCTGGGACTGAGAATGTGGCTTAGCAATAGAGTGCCGGCCTAGCATGCACGAAACCCTGGGTTCAATGCCTCAGCACCACATACACAGAAAAGGCCAGAAGTGGCGCTGTGGCTCAAGTGGTAGAACGCTAGCCTTGAGCATAGAGAGGCTCAGGGACAGAGCCCAGGCCCTGAGTTCAAGACCCAGGATTGATAGATTAAAAAAAACAAAAGTCTGAAAAAAATCTGTTTAAAACTTTTTAAAAGTGGGTAACAACTCAGTGAAGTTAGTTATTGGGCTCAAACTACTGTGCACTTAAATATCTATTACAGTTATACCCTCACCCTGGCAGGTGAAGGCTATCTCCACGGGGGAAATTCTGCTGGGCTCCCTCTGGGACCAGGCTCCTGAGGTCTGATGGCACTAGAATTCATGGGACACCTTCCCCCCGCCCCCCTGCCAGCCTCAGAGGGCTCTGACCTGGGTTCTTCCACTTGCTGGGCTGTGAGCTCCCCTGCCTCTCCCCCTCCTCCTCCCTTTCCCTCTCCCGGTGCAGCATCACTTCCTGCCTGGGGAAAGACTTCGCAGGACCATGCAGCTGTGTTCACAGACTCTATAGCCTGGCAAATCTGGGAACCCCTCTGGGACAGACCCTTACATAGATTTTCAGAATTCCATGGGTTGGCTCTGGGTTCTGATCGTTGCTTTCATTTGTGTGGTTGGGTTTTGCTATGTGGAGACTTTTTAATTGGATAGTCTTGTTTGTCAGTTCTTGTTCTTGTTTTCTGGGCAACTGGAGTCCTATTCAAACTATACTGACCAGTTCTTACGGCAGGTCCAACCCTGGAGCAGCAGCATTTCTACTGTGTTCTGAGGGTTGGGACTCTACCCAGTCTGGCCCCAGCCCTGATCAAGAACTGCAGGGGGGACAGAGGATGAGCTGTCTGAATGACCGGGTCCGCAGTGGGCCAGGCGAGCACAGGAAGAGCTGCTTGGACCGAGGGAGGCAGGAAGGGGACCTGGGAAGGCAGCCCCTGAGCAGTGTGATGGCGGGGGCCCTTACTCAGAGGAACAGGAAGGCTGGCCGGCTAAAGTCCTAGAACTAAGTTAAGTGAGCAGACTCTGCAGGCTGGGGTACAGGGCGGACATTTGGGACAAGGAGTGGACAGGCATGTGCAGCTCCTTGGCCTGGCTGGGCAGGAGGGACAGTGGTGGGAGGGGAACTTGCTGTAGGAGGGGAAAACTTCATGGAACTGGCTGCCAGTGCGGCTGGGAGTGTGGAGGGATTTGTATCAATGCCTCATGCTCTGGCCTCGGCTGCCCACACCGAAGCTGAGTTTTTCTTCCTCTGGGGCAGAACTGCTTGGACTATGGGTCTCTGGGTTTCTCTCCCCTCCAGTTCCTGCTCTGGCTTTCCCTTTCCTGTCCCTGGACCACCAGCAGGCATTGCTGGCTTCCTCTTCCCATGGGAGGAGGAAGGGACATTTGGTACAAGCCAGTCCTGGACTTTACAAAGAAAGGACTCCGAGGCCAGAACTGCTGCACATGTGAAGTGCCTGGGCAGCTGCTGCTATGGGAAGACTTCATTACCTGTCAGAGGAAGTGTCTCACTGAGGGCCTTGGATGCAGGTGCTGCTTC